TTTTTTTCTTTCTTTCTTTCTTTTTTTTTTTGAGACAGGCTCTTGCTCTATCGCCCAGGCTGGAGAGCAGTGGCGTGAGCTCAGCTCACTGTAGCCTCAACCTCCTGAGCTAAAGCTATCCTCCTGCCTCAGCCTCACAACAAGCTGGAACTACAGGCACATGCCACCATGCCCCGCTAATTTTTATTTTTTATTTATTTATTTATTTATTTTTTGAGAGACCAGGTCTCACTGTGTTGCCCAGACTGGTCTCAAACTCCTGGACTCAAGCTATCCACTTGCCCTATTTTCTATTTTGTTTTACTATAAATACATATAATTACTAAGGTATGAAAAAACAAGAAGAATTAGTTTTAGTCAAAAAATGCTTATAACATAAACTAATTTTCATAACTATAATTTTTCTTTGTAACTGGATAAAAAAAAGGTCGAATCTTTCTACATTGCTATTTTACTAGAAAAAGAAACAACTGGCAATAGTCCATATAAATAAAATATTTCACTCACATATAATAAAAATCTCAATTGAACAGTAGTTCAATGGTTTCTGACAGTTGAAGACAGAGGTGCCCTGGATATAAAGGAAGCAAAGCTCTCATCAGGCCTATCATGTTGTGAAACGGGCAGCCTTGACAGGAACATCAAGTGACATTCCAGGACTGAAAAAATCAACTGACATTAAGAAGAATCAAATTAATGAAAGCAAAGAAGAAGAAGGAAATCCTAGGAAAAGATGTGTTTGCTCCACAGAGCCGGGCACAGTCGCCCCGTGTGGGAGGCCAGGGAGGCGGGGCGGGAGAGCGTGCGTGCCAGCCACTGGCCGCCTCTGCTGTGCTGGGACAACGTGCTTTCTTTGCCCACTTTCCCCAGGTCTTCCACAGTGGCCTCACCATGCAGGCCACAGCTTCATGAGCACCAAGCCGGAGAAGGCCCACCGTGTTCTGCAGCCCTGCGGGGTTCTCTCTGTTCCAGTGCCCAGCTGATTTTACTCACAGTGTTTACCACTATGCAGCTGTTTCATTTAGATGCTTATGCCTGTCCCTCCAATTAAGCAGAGGCCAAGGACACTGGATCGCCTGCCCACTTGCTCTGTGACAGCAGATTGGTGCACCAGCCTTGACCATTTGCTACCCTAACACTTGCCTTGCTACCTTGTGTGTGTGTGTGTGTGTATGTATATATGTGTATATTTAGACAGAGTCTCACTCTTTTGTCCAGGCTGGAATGCACTGGTGCAACTTCTGTCCCCCATCCCGGGCTCAAGCAATTCTCCTGCCTCAGCCTCTCAAGTACCTGGGACTATGGGTGTACGCCACCACTCCCAGCTATTTTTGTATTTTTAGTAGAGACAGGCTTTCACCATGTTGACCAGGCTGGTCTCAAACTCTTGACCTCAGGTGATCCACCCATCTCGGCCTTCCAAAGTGCTGGGATTACAGGCGTGAGCGATCGTGCCCAGCCAAAATAAACAGCAATGAGATTGAATGTGAATAATAAGCATTGTATTTTCCAAGTCTCGTTTCAAACATAATCATTAAGGTTCTTCTTCTGGAAATGAAATTTACTCTGCTAAAAGCCCTTACCCTCTTTGAAAAACGCCTGGTCAAGAATACTCAGGATGATGTGCTAGAAGAGAAGCACCTTTCACTGCTGCAGTAATGCCAAGAAGGCTGCAGCCCAGAGGTCTAGTGCAAACACTGAGTATAAATGAAATAGGATGGCAAGACAAGAGCAAATGCCAACTAGACAAAGCATGTATGTGGGTGGGAGAGGGGAGGCGGGTTGACTTAAAATACTTTAGAGTCTTAGCATTGTTGAGAAGAGAGTAAAGATAAAGCTTAGCTTTATACTTTACTAAATATTATTTATTAAATATCTAAAATTTCTAGGAAAACCACAGGAATGGAAATATAGGGTATCATTTCAAGTTAGTAGAAAAAATGGAATTTAAAAACTCAAAAGGTTGCAAGGAAGAAAAGAAAAATACAGAAGTAAAACAAAGAGCAAAAATAAAGTGGCATAAATTAATGAAAATAAATTATTAATCATAGTAAGTATAAAATTAAGATGGTAGCATGGGATTTAAGAAACAACACTACCACCTAGTTAATGCTGTTTATAAGAGATTTTCATTCACCAGAATAACAAGAGCATTTCTAAACCTGTGAGCAACTAATAACATAGCCTCACAATATATAAAGCTAGAATTCACAAAATGGCATGGAAAAAACTACAAATTCATTCATTACGATGGTGAGAGACTTGGACCCTCTCAGTAACTAAAAAGTTAAGAGTTTTTCTTTTTAAAAAGACAGTAAAGCACATAAATAATTTTAAAAATTATAATAAAGAAGATCAATCTAATGGCTATCTATAGAGCAATTCAGGTAAAAAAAATACGCATTTTTAAAGCACAGATGGAATATTTATAAAATGACCCTGTACCAATCCACAAAGCAAGTAGTAACAAAAACCACATGCTATGGGGCTCTGGAAGCAGCTTACAGAAGAATCCCAAAACATTCTGTGTCATGAAGCTCCAATACAAATGAACGTGTAACCTAATATAAGCCAAAGCCTTTACCTAAGTGTCTATTGACCTATTTCGGGTGTGGGAATACATTTTCTCCATAGGAAAAACGTATGCCACCCTTGAGACAGGGTCTGAAGCTAGCACAAACATGCAGATGTGCCCGTGCCTTAGGTGGAGCTACTGAGAACCAGAGACTCCACTCCCATTCACCAGAAGATCTTCGGGTGAGCAAGGCTTCAGTGTCAGGATGGGGCCCATGCAGCTCTAGAAGCAGAAGCAGCTCCTCCATCTGAGTCAGTCCCTGAAGCCTGCGTGGCCTAAGACGGGCATTCCAGCAGGCAGAAACTAAGAGAAGCAGGGGAAATGTCTTATTTCCTCCTCCACTTGATGGCTAACGAATCTTCTCACATGACACTGGACAATACAAAAATGGAGACCAGGGTTCATTTTGTGTGTGTGGGGACAGAGACAAAGGAGGCTCTTGGGGAGTGGGTGGCATCGAATGGAGGAAGCTGGTGGACAGAAGAAATGTGGGAAGGGCCCAGGATCAAGGTGAGTATTTAGGCTGAATAGCAAATGAGAACTATCTGAAGGACCATCACATCCGAAGAAGTGAATTCTGGCATGGCAGTCAGAGAATCCACACAGGTTAGTTTACAAACAGCCACTTAGCCAGTGTGTCTTTTGGGGACAAAGATTCTATCTCCAGAGTCCACTCACGGCACTCAATACGGGCTGGCACAGGAACTGTGACAATCCGCACTTGGGCCCTCTGAGCAGGGCAGGGCCTCTGTAACGGTCCATTCAACAGATACTCACGAAGGCCCTACCACATCCCACGCATGCTCCGTTCTAGGCCCTAACTAGGACACGACCACAAACAGGCCACACAAGGCCTCTGTTCTCACAGGGTGTGATAAGAAGAGAGAAAGCAGCAACATCGAGATAAATGTCACAGAGATCTGCACAGAATTCAACAGGCTGCTGTGATAGCAAGTGGCTGGCTGTTTCTTGGTCTGTACTGCGGAGGAGACAGGCAGCCTCTCTGAGCAACAGTATTTAGGGTAAAAGCCGAGTGACAAGACAAGACTAGCACAGAATGATGAGGTAGAGGAGCACCGAGGCAGAGGGCACAGCCAGCGTGGGAAGCAACTGGCACACGGGGATGGCTGCTGTGTGGTGGGAGGAGGGGGAAGCTGGGCCTTAGCAGGTTCAATCTGCAAGCCAGGCTAGAACAGCCATCTCCACAGTCAGCTTTACAGAGTACGGAAAGTCTAGCTCAGCAGCAAGTCACACAGCGCAATGAGAAGCTGCCTTTTGCTGTGTACTCTCTGCACAGGTCTGGCCACCCATGAGCCGGTAAAGGGAGCACCCACAGGACTCTGTGCTGTGACAGGCAGAGAGGAGGCTGATTTCCTATCTCTCAAACAGACTGGGGGAGAGGAACTGGATTCATTCCCAGTGACTGTCTTTGAGGGCAGTGCAGTGCGCATGCACCCCAAGAACAGATTATAGCTCAGTTTTTTTTTTTTTTTTTTTAAGATAGGGTCTCACTCTGTTGTCAGGCTGAAATGCAGGGGCATGATCTCGGCTCACTGCACTCTCTGCCTCCTGGGTTCAAGCGATTCTCCTGACTCAGCCTGCCAGCTCTGATTTTATGACATTAAGTAAATAGAAGAGACATCACCTTTTAGAGCAAATTTTGGAGAAAGATGGTTTATAAACAGAGATGTCTTTCTCTTCAAAGTGGCTACCTTTTTGAGCCTAATCATTCTATACTGTTTGAGTCCATTCTGTTACAAAAGGTGGATATTCTAGATTCATCCTTTATCCATCACAAGGTTTCAGTAGCTCATTCCTATGAAAATTTTAAATCATACAAATTAAGAATGTCTTTCTTCAAATATTTTTGCAAATATTTTAAAATGAATTTATAAATATTCATATGGTACATATTAGTCTTTAGATTAAATAGGCATCTAATATTAACAATTTATATCCCAATCTCCAGTTATGATAGAGGTTAGCATTTTGAAATGATAGTCTATACTAAAACACTGCCTTATTTACTTAATATTTTATCTAACTTGGCAGATATTAGATATATTAAATAGAACTTTAAAATGCTAATGATTCCACGCAGATCAAAGGGCACCGGAAATTTAAAAGTCTGTCAGCAAAAAACAAAACGAATTTTGTTAAATTCCAGGTTATGTTTCATCAGGAAATATCTTGTGATTGTTGAAGAGTATACCATTAACACACTCACATCGGGAAAAGTCTGGCACCTCTCCATCACTCTACCAACTGATGATGTCTCCCCAGTGTTTCCACAGAAGACTGCCTCACGATTCCTCGGAACTCCTGGCTTCTACTTCTCTAGCTTTGTTTGGATAATTTCTTTTACACTCAGAACGGTTAGTTTAACAAAACCAGACATTGATTTTATTTCCATTTTCAAACCTACCTTATGGGAATGATGTAAGAAAAGAGGAGAAGGAACCGAAAAAGATTGCGGTACCATGGACCCACAAATCCTTGTAAGGTTACCATAACAACGGAAAGAGCCACTAAAGCCAAAAATAGTGCTTTCGTCAGCCGGTTGAGTTCAAGGTCCAATAAACCAACCTGAAAGAAAAAACATCACATGACCAAGCTAAGCACAATGTCCCCGACATTACAAATCAGAATACATAATGATGACATTAAAAACACACATGAACAAGCTAACCACAATGTCCCCAATATTACAAAATGACAATGATGACATTGAAAAACCAGGATTATTTTGGTGTTAGCCTTTATTATAATGAAATATGAAAATGTTACTAACTTTTCTCCTGAAAAACCTTTAACAGATTCAGGCAGAATTTCTACAAATGAGTCATGATCCCCAGAGCATTTCCAGAAAGGGTCTACTGACAAAACACCAGGCCAGAGCACACAGCTGCAGCGAACTCAGACATGGCCTCTGGACGATGGCACACTGGTCACCGGCTGGGGCAAAGTGAAACGCAAGCCTAGAGAGGGCACTGGAAGCTTGCTCAGGGCCCGGCCCGGGGCAGAGAGCTCTCAGAGCATGGGTGCGTCTTCCTGCATGTGCTATGGCATGGCCATGCCTGATAGCCACGTGGGTGCCTCTGCACATCCCCCGTGAGGATTCTACTGAGATGGAGAGTTCCCAAGAACAGGACAGAATGTCTGTCTTTCCTATCTACCAGCAGTCTCTCTGAAAGAACTTATCTTACAGAAAAAAAGCAATACATAGATAACTTATAATGAAAACCTTTTTAATTTGCACAAATCCTACATTGTATGTTCTCCCAGTAAGGTACACTATACCCAAGCGCATTCTATGGATCATTTACCAGCTAAGCAAAGTGTGAGGGAAAACTATGGCAGTGAGAATCAGTTCTCTTTTCTGGGTGCATTCTGTTTAGGATCTTGGAAACAGTGAGAACTAGCAACCCACACAGCTCTCTCACCACACAAGTTAAGAGAATATAGTTCTTTTGAAGCATGTACCTTCAATTTCGAGCTCTAGCAATTGCTATAAACTGTTTCTCCTTTCTTGCTTTCAGCCCTGAAAGACCACAAGGCAGCCCAGCAAGTGGGGATGGGGATGAAAGCGGACTTGCTGCAGGAAGGGAGGGAGAAGTGACGCGGTACAGCAATTAGGATTCTCTGGGACTCTGGATTTGGCTAATTTAGATGCTGACTCTGCCACATCACGGCATACCCTTGGGCAAGCTATCTGTAAGTCCACAGGGACTGTGGGAGCGTCTTCCTTGCAGCCCTCGGGGGAATGGGAAGAGGGAGAGCCTGGCACAGTGGCCACAGTTCCTGCTAGGAAGCACACTCCCCACGCATGCATGCTGCTGCTGCTTTTACCACACACTTGGGTTGGAATCCACTTCCTCTGTTTACTAAATGTGACTTGAGGAACACCCTTAAACTCTTTGCTAAGCCTCGTTTTCCTCATCTGTAATTGGTGGTAGCGGTACTCAGAGAGCAGAGGCGCCACGGTGAGAGGCCACTGCCTCCGGCAACACTAGGTCGAAAACCAGTGTGTACTTAACTTACCTGCTTATTTCTGACCTGTGTGATATGAACAGAAGCCCAGTCCCTATTAGGTTAGTTATCTATCTGCCACTTCAGTTTCTCCCGAATCTGGAAGAACTTTTGAAAAGGAGTACATGAAGAAAACATGGCTGTAAAAAACCTGACTAAGAAAATAAAAAGTTTGAGAATTACAGCACTAATAAATAACTTGGTTTATTTTGTAGTGCTTTTTGAAAAATCTGTATCTTTGTCCAATAGAAAGCTAGCCTTTTCCCACAACTCGTATATTTAGTTTACACCTGGTTTTGATTAACATTTGCCACAAACTCTCATGAGATCATTAGAACCTACAATTATCAAGCAAAAATAAAACTTTGTCAGAAAGTCCATTAAATACAGTTGTGAAGAAAACTTAAACAAATAAATTTAAATGTCTACATTTTGTGCTAAACTCTAAGGTTATGAAAATGAGCTACTTTTAAGATTTTACCTGCAAGAAACAGCTAATCTGGTAGGAGAAATAAAAAGAACACCAGTGATCTATGTTATAAAACAGAATCATATAATAGGAAGTTTCCTCTTCTAACCAGGCTTGTTTTAACTCACTTCCTGCGGCCAACAGTCAGCACTACCGTTGGTTAATAGATACTTCATGGCCACTCACAACAGTGTAGGGACAACAGGAGTGACGAAAAGAACCCCAAAGTCCTATGACTGGCAGTGCCATGAGTCCAGGTTCCATGGCCAGCACAGAGGAGGGTACACTCAGCAGGTGGGGCGGCACCTCCTGCACTGTCCTGTGCACACTGCCACTGTCCTGGGCCTCACTTGGCCACTTCACTGTGTGAGATTCCTAAAAGAGGACACTTTAAACACAAAGTGTCAGTTTTAAGTGAAATAGCTACTCGATTCTAATTTAACAACTAACGAGACACTTGGCCTGCCACAAAAACTCTTCTCCATCATGCAACACAGGAACACAGCCCGCAGCTCATTTTCAATATAAAGTCTTCAAAGACTGCACATTCCCAACCCTATATTCTCCCAAGAAAGCACACTGCTCTCTAATTCACAGTAGCAGATCCCCTTCGAGCCAAACAAAATATCCACAGCAACATCTCGGGGTGCCGGAACGCGGCCTTTGCATTCCTGGGCCACCACAGAGCGGTAAGGGCACTGCTCCTCCAGATCGCAGTCTGAGGAGGAGCGATACTCAACCAGTGCGGAAGTTCCCAACGCTGCTGCGAGTATGGGCTGTGCCTTCCCTCGAGAATGCGGCAGCTGAAGACCACAGCGGCTGATTTATCAGCTCTATTTAGAAAGCACCACAACGAGGACAAATATCGGGCAATTTCCGCTACTTCAACTACTACATAGTTTATGCTTGAATTATTGAGAAAAATAGGTTTTTGGGTTAAAATGAAGAAAAATTAATCCAGGGAAGTAGAGCATGTTTCAGATCCTTGTGCCGTGACAAAGGCGTCTAAGTTTCAGGCCTCACTGAGGATCAGATGAAGTCATCATTCATTCAGTCAGGGAAAAAGGACTCAATTACCTCAACCTAAAGATGCTATCAACGAATGCAAAGTGCATATTTTACTCTATTCATCCAAATCCCATTAAAAAGTGAAAGGAATGATTTAATCCGGCCTTCCAGGGTTGGTCTTTTTTTTGTAATAAAATAAAGAATCACTGTCTTGCAAAATGCATAACCACTACCTCACACTTTCCCCTGCAACATCCCAGCAAGGGACTGTAAAAGCCAGGACAAAAACACTCAGAAATGAATACAAAGTTTCCTTTAAAAAAAAATGCCACGTAGTGGATGGAAAGACTCAAAGCAGCCCATTGCACACCGACAGGCAGATCACTCAAAGCACTAACACCTTCCTCACTGACAGAGACAGATGCTGAGGATGCTTCAGTAGCAAGTGTAACCATTTGCAAGCCAATAGGTCTTCTCCCAACCCCTTTTAACTTAAAGAAAAGCAATAAAACTTGCAGTGGAATAAAACACAACTTTTCAAGAATGGGCTGTGCCTTGCTTTCTTCCAAGTGGCCTTTTCTGAACTATGTCTGTTCTTGCTGGAATATAACTTGTATCCAAGCTACATTATATAGTATAAATCTTGTGGGGTGGGTTTTGTGTGCATGCGTGTCAAAAAGAAAAGACGCATTTCAACACTCGGGTTTCTTTTTTTTTTTTAACCCACTTCTATTAATAATCTTTTAGTATTCAATTTCTCTGAAATATGCTTTTCTTCAACTCATCTAAAATACAATCTGAACTCTTATAAGACATTTAAAATAAAAACCAGTTAACTTATAAGGTTACAGATTCTACAAAGAAGGCTGTAACTTTAGTTTTGATGTGGATCTCTTCCTTCTTTAAAAATGGACAGAGCAGGTATCTTTTGCCATGACTGCAAACTTTTCACCCATAAAAAATATGAATCACTTGAAGCAATTATGACTGTTTGAGAAAAGGTAACATAAATATACTTAGAACTCATTTTCAACATTCATCGTCATCTCCTATATTAGTAAAAAGAATTGTCTTCCGCTTGTCATAATATTTGTTTTATTTGAAACAACTGTGATAACAAAATTAAATAAGCTACTGGAAATTTTAATCTCCAAGGGAAAATTTGTGCATGATGTTAAGACAACCACAATGATTCTGCAAAGGGGCTGTTCTAGGATAATGAACACAATAATTGCCTGTACAATCTAAAATGCTACTAATGGCAACAATCACAAATCCATTTAGCTCCTCTTTAATTTATGTACCAAGTTTTAAATAGCTAATGGTTCTCAGTAAAATAATGGTTTATACCAACAATAAAGGGTAAATATGGTATTCTCCTTGCTTAATCAAGAAAAGATCCGTCAGGCTTTTTTTTTTTAAATGAATGCTCAGAGAAGTGAGAATCGGACCTTATCTCCATGACACAGCAACACTTCAATCCATTTCGAAGTGAAAACTCACATCATACTATGAAGTTCCTAAGAAATCAATGTACGCGGCAAATTGGAGTACAAGTCAAATACTGTAAAATCTCAGGCCTCACTGATGATTAAACAAAATGCCTGTGTAACGCTCACTCCTGGTGACATCACCCCAGGTTAACAGGATGTCGGCATCAAAACACTCTTACCACTCATCTTTTAAAACTCATGCCTACTGATTCCTTACAAAGAAGTAGTATGTTAAAATGCAGCAAAGAGCCAACTTAAACTCTTGTAGAAAGCTGAATTATTTTAGTTTGTCCTGCAGTTTCCCTGTGAAAGATGAGCAGAGCCCCGGATCTGATACCTAATTCATTCATGACTACTGTGCACAGGCAGAGAAGTTCAGCTTTGTATACTGCTGACTGCGTCAGGAAGAACGCAACTGTTAACAGTGCTTATCCTTCATCAGCTGAATGATGTGTCAATCAGTTCTTCACTGAGGATTTGGACCCTGACTACAAAATTGATACAGGGCTATGCCTTAACCTAACTGAAATTCCTAGAAAAAGCATATTCTTTTAAGTATCTTTGAAACAAATAAGTCCTGTATCTTT